TTTTGCTTGCTTTATGTTGTTCATCTTGTCCTTACGAAATCCTGCTCATAGAGGCAAGGTCAGCAGTGCCAGCGCCCCTTATCGCGGTAAGGCCACCGTTACTCCCCCGTGCGGCCCGGTGTAGGAAAGCTTCTACTTTATCGAAATTCACAGCCATGTCTTGAAATTAGTTTGTAGTAAGAAAAAATAAAAACTTGTCCCTCTTATAGCTTCCTAGAAACCTCAACGTTGACCTCCACCGTTTATTTACACAGCACGGGCGCAGCTAGTTTGCAACCCATTGTGCAAATAATTTCCTAGACTCCCGCAGCTACAATTTTCAGCAGATACCGGTTAATTGGTTTTCAGCGTAAATAGTATAGCAGCTATGCATTAAAAGTAACTGCTCAATAGCTTAATTGGGTTTCTATTTCTGGCCTACTTCATAGCTTTAAACGGATTTAATTAGCCCACAATACTCAGTAATCCTTGCAAATATGTAGATGTATATATGTATGTATATGAATAGATTAAGACTCAAACAATGAATAAGATAAATTTGACTATGTAGAAGAAGAAAGGGATAAATGCAGAGATTAAAATAAAAGCAGAGAAACCTAAACATAAACACAAAGAGGAAGGCAAATTTAAATGCTTATATAATAGGAAAGGTGTGGGTGAATATTTAGATAAAAAGGGGATATAGATAAATATCTGGCTAAAAGTCAAGGAAGTGTTAAATGTAAAAATGAAAAGATAAAAAACGGCAGAGACAAGAATAGAGATAAAGGTAGGGACAAAAAAAAGGAAAAGATAAAATTGAAGAATGACATTTTATGTTGTGTTGCGTGGTATTGTTTTTTATTGCGTTGTGTTGTATTTTGTTGGGTTGTTTTGTGATGTGGTATTTTGTGTTGTGTTGTGTGGTTTTGTATTGTGGCGTGTTTATTTTATGTTATGTTATGTAATGTTTTGTCATGTTAAGTTATGTTGTGTTATGCTATGTTACGTTTTATTATGTTATGTTATGTTGTGTTGAATTATTTTGTATTGTATTGTGCTGGGATGTGTTTTGTTGTGTTGTGTTGTGATGTGCCGTATTGTTTTGTGTTGCATTGTACTGTGTGTTGTGTTATGTTACGTTATGTTATATTCTACTATGTTGTTCAATGCATTTCACCTCAATTCACTGCAATGAACTCAACTAAACTCAACTCCGCTCAGCTCAGTCCACGTCAACTCCCCTTAATTTAAATGGTTGAATTTCAACCGCTGGGCAAACACTAGTTCTAAATAAATAGCATTGTGTAGGATTAGAATTTTATTCTTAAATTATTGTTTGCCATGTAATTATTGACACTCATTGTGAAATGTTAAAATATAACAACTAATAAAAACAGAAAGATTAAAATTTACACCATAAAAATATGAATGCAAAAGCTTGTTTAGATGCAATATAAAATTATAACCTCAGTCACTCTAGCAAATAACAATAAATTTAGTAAACGTGATTGTGGTATTATTATTCTTACCTGAAAGGAGCTTTTGTTGTACGATTCTTTGCACACATACATACATACATGTGAAAATTAATAGTTTTATTAATTATTAGTGGAATTCGCGCTTCTGTGTATTCATTAGTGGTATTCACCAATGCAAGCAAGTGGCCTGGCAGTCTGGCAAAAGAGCAGGTCAGAACAAGCAACGATTGTCGATAAGAGTGCCAGGCCACTTGCTCAATTCGGTGAATACCACTGTTGTATCTTGCATAAATCTAACTGAATGAGCGTGTGACTTGTCGTCGCTAGTGGTACAATAACTACATGTGCTTTGGGCTCAATCGGTCTCTTGCAAATTTTATTAGCTTTCATTTAAAACAAAATTAATCTAATTGAGTAAAAATTGAAGGCTCCAGTGAATTGTGAACACCAAATGCCAGTTTTGAACCACTGTGCGCTGTTAAAAGAAACTTGTTCCGTTATATTTACACCTAAAATGGTGTCCGAGACCTAAAGTTTGCTATTACACACCTCTTACAAGCAGGAATATTTGTTCAATATAATAGTAATATCCGCGATTCAAATGGATAAAGGGACACGCAATCAAGCAACCAAATGAAATAGAACAACTTTCCAGTGGCAAATAACCATATTCACTTGTCAAATGCCGGAGAAACGTTCATCGCCATGATACTACATATAATTATAATTAATTGAAATATATGTATGTATGTATGTATGCATGCACATACATACTCACATACATTTGCATATATTTGTACATTTTATTTGCTGTCTATATAATTAGACAAACATCAGCTAAATATTAAAGCACAATAGAATCTACTTGTTCGAGTGTACGATATGAACGTGTACAAATATATTACCTGTGTTGACAATGCTCACGATCAGTGTTGCCAGTTTAGTCTTTTTGAGGCTAGATCTAGCTTTTTTCTTTGTCGTTTAGCTTCGAAATTTAGGATTTAGCTTCGTGGCTTTTTTCTTGCCTTTTCTTATTTTCAGACTAGCATTTTTTAAGGATAATCCTCCACATTATTTGTAGTAGCACTAAATTATTGTTCCGGCTCAGTTTTACTTGACGAAATGTTAAGCGAATATCACCCGGCGACATCGCTCCATCCGACGAAATTTACTCAGCGAACTCTTTCTGTTTATACTTTAACAGTTTTTTAGGAGTTCGCAAGTGTCCCTGTAAAGCCAGGAAATGTATGTTATTTCGTAGAACTTTCGCTGATATATAGCATAGCCTCCACGAGTGACACAGGCGCGAAACTCTCGCCAGATATGTTGTGAAGATTGCATCAAATCGCATACACTCAAAATAGATGTCTTCTATTACATCTCCTCCGCAGTAGTCGCATATGGGTTCCGGCTCGTGTTTGAATCGGTGAACGTATGCTTTGAAGTATCCGTGTCGTGTTAAACAGTTAAACAGTTTGGCAAATAGAAATAGACTTCACCGTTTAGTCTGCTTCATTTGCGTGTATATACGCTTTGCTCTTTACTGTGCGCGATCCAATTGAAACCTTGATGATTGTATTCGTATTGTAATGTATGAAGATATTTGGTGGTATAAATATACCACTACTTTGTCATTAAGAACTATAGGTTTTCAGACCCTAACAAAGAGTCCCATTTATATTTAAATAGTCTTATTAAACAGTATGCGGTTCAAAAAAGTTTACACAAAGCTTTCATGAAATTTCATTATCGTAAGTACTCTGGTTGTCAAGATAAGTACATTTTTGTTGCAACATTCACATTTTTATAACATATTTGTACATAAGAGTTAATGAAATGTTGAAAAGGCTGACCTTTTTTAACCTTTTTTTGGGCCATTAAGCTTTTTTATTTGGCCGATCTAGCTTTTTTTTATTTTTTAAGTCCTGGCAACACTGCTCACAATGAGAAACCACTTGAAGCAACATGCAACAGTACAATGTAGGTGCATATCTTGAGATGAATTCATAAGTACCCTGTAGAAAAATCCACCAGTATTTGGACATAGAGCTTCGTATTAATTTCGAAACAAGATGGATTTAAATGTATTTTTTCTACAAAAACAGCTGGTGATTTTATGCCGCGATATCTTATAAAAGAGATTCGTTGTGCACCGCATCTGTGATTTTACTGGTAAAAAATCACTTGTTCCGGTACGCTTCTACAATAGTAATAAATAAAAGGAAAACAATGCCGCTGAGCTTACAGCGAAGCTTAAATGTACAGCAGCAACAATGCCGATGAACGCTCTGATAACAAAAATAATGAATATACTGATGAATAACAGTGGCGGATCCAGCGAGGGGCTTTGGGAGTTAAACTACGTGTCAGTCAGTGGGGGACCCACGGGGGGTTTTAATACATAGACGCCATATTAAACACACATATGCCCCATATTAAAACTCCCCCCGTGGGTCCGCCACTGACTGACACGTAGGTTAACCCCCAAATCCCCCCTGCTGGATCCGCCACTGATGAATAATATAATATATTTAAAGCAAGCTTTGTAAATATGAACCAAATCGGACTTTCAAATATCTTAAACCATCACTGCCATCGGATATTAAGCTTTGTTTGAAATTTTAAGTCTCTAGCTCATCGGGAAATTGCTTAAAAATTAATTGCAAGATTTGGCCAAAACCCAAAAAATACATGCATGCAAAGCAAATTAGATGAATACCAGTAATCATGTCGATAAATAATTCAATAATGATATATGTAGGTAGTTGTGATATCAGTTAATTTTTTTGGTAGGGTCTACCAAAGAAGGGAATACTAAAAATTAAACATAAATATTTTTGATAAAACATTAATATTGTGAACATTTTAGAGAAACTCACTGTGACTTTATCCTACATTAATTCTGAAGCGTTTCAATCTTCAAGTCCTCTAAGTGCTGCTGATGGTAGCATCTGACTAAAGAACGGACAGAGTAGCTACTACTCTAAAATATCGCTTCAGAGATGAATACTTTTTTTTCGAAAATAGAGGGTTTTTATCAATTCACTACATAACTGCAATGATAAAAAGTTTGTTGAATCAATTTTGTTCGCAACTCGTATTTTCCTCACAGTACATTTTATAGATGGGAATTTCATGATAGGCTCCCATCAAGTATAATCCTAGATATTTAACTTCGTCAGAGTATTCCGGCACTAATCCCCCAAAGTTGACCTGAACCAAAGTGCTGAATCAATATTTTTTTTTTTTTTTTTTTGATGCAGTCATATTTTCCTCGCTGGGTATCTTCTCTAGTATGACTTTGCGATCGCATGTTTATAACTGGCATATTCGCCAAGCCATTAAAAATTGCATAAAAACTATATAGTTTACAATTTAGCTGCTGATAATTTCTGTGATGCAACCCCCTATTGCTGGTACTCGTATACTTTTGTATAAGAAATACCTTAATCAATTAGCAAACCACATGCAATTGTAATGGCTACGAGTATTACATAAAACAACAATAGCGGTTGTAATGCAGTCTGATAAGAAATTCAATTCAAACGGTAGTTTATGTGAAGCGCTACGAATTCCAACGCTCAGCATTCTAATTCTAAACGTCCCCGGGTACTTATAAAAGAGTGCGCTTTGCACTTACAAATTTTCTTCGCATCAACTAAACTGTGGATGTAAAGTGTGCGAATATTGATAATTGAGCTATTTTTCACTTGAAAGAAATCTAAAAATGGTCAATAACGACTTGTACAATGAGGATGAGCTTAATCCGCCAGACTGGTTGAATAAGGAATTTTTCGAGAAAATACTCAAGAGCGAGGAAAGTGATAATGTGAAGGTGAAGGTGTGCTGGCAACACCATTTGCACACATTTTAATATCCATGCATTACATTTATGATCAGGTTACGGATTTAGAGCTCAGGCCCGGCACACTGAAGAACGATCACTATGCAAGTGTTATGTTTCGCGCCAAACTTAGCTACAGCGTGGACTCGCAGCCAACTGTGGAAAAGAGAAATTCGTTTATTTTGAAAGTTCAGCCGTTTGCAGATGGCACCAAAAAGGATTTACTCAGTGAACTGCACACTTTCACAACTGAAATTCGTATGTATACAGAAGTGCTGCCTGTAATTGAGCGTGAGCTACGGCAATATGGCGACGAAACCATTTTGGGGCCAAAGTGAGTTGGAAAAATTAGAAGCAAAAAAAAACAAAAAGAACTAGGAAAATTTAATTTACAATATGTGTCTACTAATTTCCTTTGGCGCGTCAATAAGGCTTATCGCCTTCAGCAACAACTGGCCCGCGTATGTGGTTTTCGAAGATTTGGCGCTGAAAGGCTACACCACAACCGGCTATCGGCACGCGAGTCTAACGGAAGTGAAAGCAGCGCTGCTCAAACTGGCAAAGCTGCACGCCATTAGCTACAAGTTGAGCCAAGAGGTGAGTGTAACAAAAAAATGGCAGCTGGGTAACTTAATCGAAACAGTGTTGCCAGGTTGGTTATTTGGTCGTCATTTTGAAGATGTTTTACTGCCATGACAGTTTGGCGAGTTTTGTGACCCAACGACGATTTTTATTTATGTGCAGATTTGGCTGGTTCACAACTTTGAAGATAGAAATAACTAGAAATTGCAGTTTACCATTTCTGCTAATACGTAATTGTGGTATCGAAATTATGTCATATGGCAGCACTAATGGTAGTTATCGATGAGTAGTTTTCTTCTCTGTTCCATCACTATTTTGTGTAGTTTTTGGCGGTCGAATTCGTAATTTTTGCGTTGTGACATTGTGTACTGCTATATATTTTATTGAGCGAAGGGAATTATGATTAAGTCATTTTTCAAAGCTTGTAAGTATGAACAGTTTTTACTGCACATCGTTAAGTTGCAGTTCAAAAAAAAAAAAAAACCAAAATGAAAATGTGTGCAATTAAAAATGTTTTTGTTAAAAATAATGCGCATTTTAAAAATTCGTAAAAAGTTCGACTTTTTATTTTTTACCTATAGCAATCAGAAGCTAGCACAAAATGAAAACAAAAAACTAAAAGAGCTTCCTGGGTATGTTATTAAAATTTTTTATATGTTGACGATTTTAACATGCAAATGACGATTTTTGAAAGCCAAACGGACGATTTCTCACTTCAATGACCTGGCCACACTGAATCCAAATAAAACTTGATGTAACAGCGATAAGAGTTAATCGCTTGAGTACGAGTATTCACCAGGCGCTCATAAATTCAAATAAAACTTACTAGGTACTTTTGTGATATTTAAGCTCTCAAAATTTATATGACTTTTTTATTAGAAAAACAACATTTTCGCCACCATGAATAAGGGCTCTATGAATTCCATGGACCCCAATAACTTTGATTTCATCAAAAATGCGAGTAAATTACTCAAAGAGGTTTTAAGCGAACACGGCGATCTGCGCAAATACGTGCCCCACATTGAATCCGTCGAACACACGCTGCTGCCCAAGATCATCGATATGTTTAATGAGAACCGTAATGGCAAATGCGATGGCATCTTTGTGCTTAACCATGGCGATTTTCATAACAAGAATATGATGATCTGCAATGTGGATGGCGAATTGAAGGATCTCATGCTGGTAGGGATGCATCGAGTTGGGGAAAATAGCAAAGAATTTTCGTAAACGGAACTTTTCGTCTTTTTTTTT